CACAGAATTCTACTATAATTTATCAAATGTAGTAACTAAGCTGTATATGGGTCTAAAAAAATATGAAATTACAAGCAGACTAAAGACACAACCTACCTCATTGAAATTTTGATTTAAAAGAAAGAAATGAAGCTAGGTATATTAGAAAGGCTTAGAAAACCACTAGGGGGACATTCTGAGCTTTTGATTGGTTATTCATGTCATATATATAGAAGTACGTGTTTATAAGGGAGCGTTTCCAAAAATGGAAGGAGGTGAGCGAGGTGCCACTATGTTTGCTTTATTACATGAGCAATATCTTAGCAAATAGAAAAGATAGGAGGTTCTTATTTTGTATTCTAGCTTGTCAATATCTATAATTTGAGTTTCTAATTCGTATTTTGACTTCACAAACATGTAATTTAAACCAATACTGCATTCAACATACCACATGACACACAAAAATCGATGTTTATCTGTGTTTTTTTATATTTAGTTTTAAATTAACAAATTGAGTAGTGTCTAGTTCTAAAATCTGAATTATAATTCTACAGTTTGATACCAAACTTATTGACATAAATCCATGTAATAGTAGTTCAATAAAATTTTGAATGCGAGTCACAAACGAAATGACATGGCCTTTCACCTGTGACCCCCTATGGAAAGGGATAATTAAATTTATTGACCATTTAGAAATGATTATAAAACCAATAAAAGTTCAGGTAATCATACTGTTTATTTGGCTCCCAAGATTGAGATACCACATGGCAAGTTTAGAAATCAAAGTTCTAGCTAAGCAAGAATACTGTATGCAAATAATTTGACAATACTCCATGTTTCAATAGGATCTGTATAGAAGACCTTGAACAGGGTACATTAACTCTCTCAGCACAGGCTCGATTTCATGGACCAACCTCATAACCATTTTGTGCTTGTTATAGTTTTTATGCTATAACTTTTAAATTAGTAAGCATATCTTCAAGAACTTTTGCATATTATCAATAAGCATTACAAGGCTTTTGTACACAAAATATCAGATTTCTTTATTAACTTTTAAGTTTTTTAAGTAATGTTTTTCTCATGCCTTTTTTCTTTTCAAGTGTTGACTATCCAATATGCAAAGTAAATTTGATTTTAAGATTAAAAATACTTTTATGCATTAGAAACTTTTCAAATTTTACATGAAAAATCTTTATAACCTCCAGATAACCTCTGTATGGGTTCAGTCGATTTGACCAACCTCATAACCACCATAAAAAATTAGGAAATAAATATAAATTATGCTTATTTCATTCTGGATTGACTATAAATTATAATAAAAAAACAATAATGTTTAGTCTAAATAGCTTAAATCTCATAAGATTATACATTAAATATATATATATATATATATTTAATATTTTTATTACATTGACCCTTCAGCCATGCCTGGTTAATACTACTGAAATTGCAATGATGCAGTGCACATGCACTCATGTTACTGTATCCAAAAACATAAAAATGGACTTTACAAAGTGACCTGTCTTGGCTGTGTTTCAGTGGATGAGTATTTTGTAAAATACAGTCACACTTCAGTTATAATACATTATATTTGTATATAAATTATTACTATTTGCAAATAAGTTCTTAAGTTTCAGTTATTTTTCTTAAAACAAAGAACAATAAATAAAGAAGTATTGCAAACAATTATCTCTTCTAGTTATGAACTTTGTACTTGTTTGCTGCAAGTTGCTAAGCCTTAACATATTTTGCATCTGCAGTATACGAAACAAAATAATTTTTTTTTATGTTTTATACATACATACATTTTGAAATAACTAAAAATCATAAATTACTATATCAATACCACAGAATTCTACTATTTATCAAGCTTAGTAACTAAGCTGTATTTGGATCTAAAAAAATTAGAAAATTTGAGCTCACTAACGTCTTACCTTACAGCTTGGAATCTAGCATGAAAAGAACAAGTTTGTCACCCAAGTACTTAAAAAAGGCTGAGAAAGCCACTAGAACACACTCTGAGTTTTCAATTGGTTATACACATGTCACTGGGTGAAGTAGGTGTACATAAGCAAGTATTTTCAAAAATTGAAGAGGTGGACAGGGCCACCTTGATTGATTCAATAAATATATTAATATCTCAGAACACAAGAAAAATAGGAGGTTCTTATTTTATATTCTAGCTTATCAATAATGGTAATTTGAATATCTAATTTGTAAGAAACTATAAACTGTATTTGGACATCATAAACATCTAATTTGAACCAATACTGCATTCAACATACCATGTGACACACAAAAATCAATATTTAGGTGTGTTTCTTTTATATTTACTTTTAAATTAAGAAATTAACAAATGTATAATACTAAAATTAGAATTATAATCTACAGTTTTATACCAAACAGATTGACATTCATTCATACAATAGCAGTTCAATAAATTTTGAATGCAAGTGAACAAATGCGATGACATGGCCTTTGACCAATGACGATAGGGTTAAACTGTCACGGCTGTAAGTACTACTGACCATTACATCAAGGACAGTAAAATATACATTAGCACAAAGTGTTCTCAGTAGAAATGTAGTTTTTTTTCAGTAAAACTTCATATTTTATGTGCTATTTTCTCTAGCCTAACTCTATACAAGGTTGATCAATTTGACTAACCTTGTAACCACTCAAAAAAAAATCTACATAAATCTAAATGACCTTTTTTTTCTCTTTCTAGAATGACTTCAAATTGTAACATGAAACTACACTTGTTTATCCTAAATAGCTTTAAACTCATAACAGTGTATATCTATTTATACGTAAATGTTATTGTTTTATAGCCCTTTGTGTCTAACTACTATTCAAGACATTATATGTTCTAAATGACTTGGTGAATGGGTAGTTCATGTTACTCTATCAAATTATATTACACACAAACTACTCTCGAGAAGCTTGTGAGCGACCACATGAATATTCATTATATTTTTATTATTTATCTTAACAAACCTAAAAAGTTTCCTATTTTTATATTCTAGTTACTTTTATAATAATAAATAATGAATACACATGAAAAACAAAAAATAAAGTACTTACCTGGGCCTTCGTTTTTTGCTGTTGACTGTCGATGGCACTTAACCCTACTTTTTTTTTTTATACTAATGGTAGTACTGCACTAAACAATTTTTTAGTTAATTAGATAATGAATCAAAAGACTCAGAAGAATAACATGCAAAAATCAGACAATGTCCCATAACTGTCACAATTTTTCTAGCTTTCTAATTATGTGACAAGAGCTGTTAAAAATTCATCTAAGCTAGTCAATGTGTTTCCCATGGGAATAAAGCTTGTACTGAAAGCAAAATTGACAATTCTCTGCACAGAAAACATAATATAATACACCATTTGATAGATGAAAATCTTGGCTTTCTATTGGTTATAAATAATAAGGTATTGAACTTTGGAAAGATCTACTTGCAATTTCTAAAAGAGAGGATAGGACAGGTGGGTGTGGCAAAGAGTCTGATTTTCTATTTGGTGCCTCTGTAACCAAATAAGATTGAAGGCTATGAAAATTATGCTTTGCCTGAGCAATGATGACATTATAATGAGTAATTTACGTTAAATTTTATACTTCTTGAAGGGGTGGTAAATAAATCAGAGAATAGGGGCTGCCTAGAAATAAAATGTCACAATTCTCACACTAGGGGAAATTCGGGATTTTTTTTTTCAATATTGCCTTATACAATTAGAATTTAAATCTTTTATGCTATTAAAATATGGATTATTAGCTACATTTTTATGCTATACTTATTGGTATACCATGAAAGGAAAGTAGTTTAATTAAGTTTTGAATGTAATTCACTAAAAACCTTGTGACAGGCACAGAAAAAAAGATGCATGTGGAGAGAGGGTTGACAAATTTTCCATCTAGTTGTCAATACTTATTGTTTGTGTGA